GTGGGGGGGATTGTAAGAAGAGCTGGAGGTCCCCTCCGCTCCTCCTCCAAAGCCTCTGGATTCACCTTCAGCCACTATAACACAAACTGGGTGAGAAAGTATCCGGGGAAAAGACTGGAATGGGTGGCATACACAAGGTACACTTCAGATACTATTTACTACTAAGACAAAGTGAAGGGACAGTTCACCATCTCCTTGAAAAATGCCAAAAGCCAGTTGTATCTACAAATGAACAACCTGAAGCCAGAGGACACAGGTCTCTATTACTGTGCAAGAGACATAGTGAGAAGTGAATCTGAAACCTGGAAAAAAACGGTTATTTGTGAGAGCAGCTCTGCAAGTCGATTCAGCCCCAGAAGGCTGGGTTCTGCTCTCAGATAATGTTTAGAAATACAAAATTCATCAATTAGAATTCTTCATTCCTTTATTGCTTTTGCAGTTCAATCCTTATTGATTCTTTCTTGAGACTGAGAATGGCCCCTCTTCCTCTTTGTTTGCACATGTCTTTTTGTTTCTGTATATATATTTTCTCTCCCTTTGTTTATGTATATATCCATGCCACCAACATGCATACCATGCGGGTCATCAGATACCCTGCTGGTATAGTAAGCTGGCCAAAGGAGGACATGGAGGCTGCTGACGTGAAGACCAAGAATCTCCTCACAATGCACAGAGGGTTCCATGCCCAGTCCAACACTCAGAAACTTCCCACCAAGTGGAAAGAAGGCGGGTGGAGTCTGGTGAGTGTCAAAGCCACTGTCTTGGATGTAACCCAGAACATCCAGGAGTACATCCGAAAGATGGCACCCAAAAATGTGCTGTTGAGAGAATGCCTGATGCAGGGATAGACATGGAAAGAAGTTCAGGTGGAGGAAATGCCATGGCAAGACAAGGCCATGTATAGGAGGTATCATTGACAGATGGGTGAGGTGGCTGACATTGGGAATTCCTTCCAGTGGCTGGAAAGGGCTGGACTAAAAGACAGCACTGAGGCACTGATCACACCATGACAAGAACAGGCACTAAGCACCAGATCCAAAGAAGCAGAGTCTACCACACTATATAGGTCCCAAGGTGCAGACCATGCAGAGAAGCCTCAGAGACATTCCAATACAACCCTAAAATATCCTTTTGTTCTATCAATATCACCAACACTCCTCTGTTTAATTATTTTCTACTTGTTGCTCCTTTTTCATTCCTCTAGATTAATTTACATTCAATCCGTTGATTGCCAAAGCTGTCTCCCCTCAGCGGGGCTCAGCCAAGGGAGCCAAAGGGTTACATTTCAGTAAATAAAACTCTTGCTTTGGTCGTTCTCATTTTCCGTAGTCACATTCTGAGAGCAACAGGTGTAAAAGGTGAGACCAAAGGAATTATTTCATTATTGCTTCCCTTTCATTTTGACTGTTAAGGAAAGAGGCTGATGGAATCCAGTCTTTCCCACACTCTCAGGTCAGTGGGGAGGACGCCAGGTCAAGGAACCCCCTGAATGATAGGTGGTGGCCACTGGAAGGACCAGGAAGCTGCACCATGGAAGGAGGACAGTCCAAAATATTCAGACCCAGAGGGCTTCTGGGAGGGGAGGTTGTATCTATAGAGAATAAGAACTAAGAAGGGGATATTATCAAAATTGGATAAAAGCATGGAAGATCATCGGGAGAATAATAAGCCGAATAATTTCACCCTTAGCTTCTCCTTTAAATGTTTTCCATGTTGGAGACCATGACAGTAAGAAAAATGTAACAATATGCTCAGAGATGGTCCACCCAAGCTCCAGAAAGCAATTAAAGACACAGCAAGAATGATTCAGCGAAGGCCAAAGCATACCATGGTTGCTGTGCTTTCAAATTGTTAGATGGATAAAATCTGAGCTTAAAAACAAGGGAGAGGCACTCAGAAAAATGTCAGAACTTCAAGCACTCATTCAAAACCAACACCACCTATTAGGGCATATATATAAAAAGATTCCTCGGTATGATATGGACACAGAAGAAATTTAAAAAATCATGATAAAATGGATGCAGAACTTTAAAGAAACAGTCACCTCAGAACAGTGGGAAGAATTATGGCAGGCATAAATAAAATTTACTCCAAAGTATAACCTAAAAGAAAGCTGTTCTGAAATAATTTACAGAGGCTATTCACATCGGTCAATAATTTCTGAAATGGACAAACACTGGCTGTAAACTGGAGGTCAATCTGCAGTCCTCAACAAGTTGCAATCGAAATTAATAGTACTCCTTGTAACATATTTCTTTTAACTTGAAGGCTAAAGTGAAAATGGGAAAAATATTCAATAGATATTGATTTGGTACCATATCCTATCTTCTAGCTATTATGACTCCAGCTAAGGTGATCTTTTTGTTGTTCTACTTGTCCTCTGTCCCCTTACAGGACCCTCTCCTTAGGGGTCCCTGTGGCTACAGCTTCAGCAGCCGTCCCATGAACTGGGTGAGACAGCGTCTGGCAAAAGGACTGGAATGGACTGGAACGGATTGCAGAGATGAGCTCCAGTTCAAATGAAATTTACTACTCAAACAAAGTGAAGGGACACTTCACCGTCTCCAGGGACAATGCCAAGAACCAGCCGTACCTGCAAATGAACAGCCTGAAAACAGAAGACACGGAAGTCTCTTCTTGCCAGTCCCACAATGAGATGAGGTAAATCAGAAGCCAAGGAAGGATTGTGTCTTCCTCAGAGAATATCTGGAAGTTGATTCAGCCCCAGAATGATATGTCTCTCCCTTCTTTTTGATTTCCATCCAGCACTTCTCTTTTCCTGAAAAGTTCTGAAGGTGTAAATTTCACAGTTGGCTCCTGGCATGTCTTTTATGGTATTGCATTTGTGTTGAATCTGGAAGCGCATTCCTTCACCACAACACACCCTTGTTCCCATCATGTCCATATTTGACTTCCCTCTCCAGGACCACAGGATAAGTGTCTCCAAAGGGAAAAGCTGCTCTTTGAACCTAATGCACCTGTAATTGTGTCTCTAATGTATTAAATCGAGACCTAATTTATTAAAAAAATTAATGGTTGGGTTTCTGTGTTCGTTTTCCAGCCAACTCCTGTAGAGTGTGTGTGTAGGGGCGGGGGGGAATGAGAGGAAAAAGGCAAATGAAATAGTTTTGCTCCAAATTGTTTCATGTTTAGCCCATGACAAAGGGATTTCTTTAGTACAGTATTTGTACTTGAAAAGAAGAAATCAACCATCTGGTGAGAACTTGAGGACTCTTTTTTTCGCAGTATCCAGTTAGAGATTTTGCTGGAAGAGAATGAAAAATGATGAAAAGCGCCTGAAAATTCCAGTTTCACCTTCACTCTTTGCAAGGAGATCTGGCTTCACAAAAAAATAAATCGGAATGGGATGTAGTTGTTAAGTATCGGGGAGAAGGCAGGTCTCCTTGGAGATTTAGGTAGATGCCTTATCTCCTCACTTTTTACACCAGGGTGCAGTGTTGTCACATTAATCCCTTTGCCTATGCCCTTGGTGGTGGTGGGGGGGGGGCAGGAGTCTAAAACAAGTGTTATTAGATACAGTCTCATTTTGGAGGCATCATTATTTTTTCTGTGATTTCCCTAATAGTTCACTGAAAAGATCTCAAGTAATTTAACATCTCAAGAGGCTACAATGCTCACCATGAAGCCATGCCTGTGTTGACACCAGATGGTCTTTGCTAAATATGCAGCAAACCGAACTCACTGGAGAAAACAAATTGATTTATTTGTGTTTCTCAATCCTCAGAAAGAATTAGAGTATATTGGGTGGCATTATTATTATTGCTGTTGTTGCTGCTACTGTACTTGCAAGTATTATTCTTTCAAATTGTATGGCTGCCCAAGTTAGGGAAATATGGAATATTTAATATGAATATATAAAATCCATATAATTGCAGACTTAAAACAAATATAACAAACAAAAAAAGACCCTAGAGGGTACAGGTATTTCTATTTTTCCTGTGATTTCTTTGATTCCAACTTTGTAGCTTGGACATGTACATGTAATATTTATTTATTTATTTATTTATTTATTTATTTTTGTATTGTATTGTATTGTATTGTATTGTATTGTATTGTATTGT